CCTAAAGGCAGAATTAGGCCCAAACTCTTACGACTGTAGAAAGTCAATATTAAAATATCAATAATGATTGACACCCAAAAGAGATCACACAGGTAGGTTGTAGAAAAGAAAAATCAAAATTAAAACTCTTCTTCTGATATAAAACTCAGTCCTCAGGAGTCACAGAGGCAAATGTAAACATTAATTACACGGAAACTAGCAAGTCTTCCACAGAGTTCAAACATCCGAAATAACATGACCACTTGCCCTGTGTTTACTCTGTGTGGGGCACTATACTATGGGGAAATGACAGCGTGTTCAGGAAAAAAATCTCTGCATTCAGAGCTCATGTAAGCATTCCAAATATTCTCTCAGTATCAACTTCCTGGTTTTTATTTCTCACTTAATAATTTAATAAGGACAACTGATTTTATTCTTCATAACTTTTACTTAAATTATGCATTTATTCATTGCTTTAGTCATTGTTTGAGATTTTATCAATTTAACAACAGTATAGTTTGTTCCTCAACTCATTCTGGGTTAATTGAATTCTTAGGGAGCAGCTTCCTCTTAGCTAGTTTCATTCTTAACCAAAGAAATTTGCATTCACTCACTGAGCCAGCTTATGAGTGTGTCATAAAAGCTTCTTGGATATACGCATGAGTTTTTATGTACAGCTCTTGTTTAACAGGGGCGTGATAGACTCAGAAAAACATAAATATTTAGCATATTGACATATAGAGAGGCAGCCAGGTTTGATCTCTGCCCTGTGTTTCTACTTCTATATAATATCACAGCAACACCATCTTTATTACACAGGCTTTTAAAAAAAGAGAGAGATTTTCCATAAGAGATTTGAAGACAAAAAAATAATAATAATAATAAAAAGAGAGAGAGAGAAAATAAAGTTCTTCTCTGAGAATATGAAAGTCTTCACGACCTCTCTCTGACAAACATAGTCATGACAGCAACATGTGCTAAATGCTTACTCCATGTCAGACATGCATTTTATAAAAATTATCACTCAGGCCGGGCACGGTGGCTCACACCTGTAATCCTAGTACTCTGGGAGGCTGAGATGGGAGGATCGCCTGAGGTCAGGTGTTCAAGACCAGCCTGAGCAAGAGCAAGATCCCATCTCTACCAAAAATAGAAAAATTAGCTGGGCGTCCTGCCCTATAGTTTCAGCCACTTGGGAGGCTGAGGCAGGAGGATCTCTTGAGCCCAAGAGTTTGAGGTTGCTGTGAGCTATGATGACGCCACTGCACTCTAGCCTGGATGACAGAGTGAGACCCTGTCTCAAAAAAGAAGAAAAGAAAAGAAATTATCTCATTCGATCCTCACAAAAACCTATTATACCCACTTTATAGAAGGGGAAAGTGAGACAGAAAAGCCAAGAAAGGGCCACTGCACTACTAATAAGTGGAGTCCTGGAAATCTGACTCTAGAACTCCACTCTTAAGCCTTCTGCTATCCTGCCTTCTTTTTCATGTTATTTCATTCAAAACAATTTCCTATACTCTCACTCCCATATAAGAATTAGAGCACATTTGCCTAAAACTACTTTCTCCCAGTAGACTATAAGTTCCAAGAGGGCAGGAGCTTCGCTCTGCACCTGGCTATATTCCCAACTTCTAAAGCAGCACCAGGCACAAAGTATGTGCCAATAAATATGTGCTGAATGAACAAATGGGGACATTTCTGGCTTTCCCAAGAGAATATTATCAGACTGATGAGTAAACATCGTCCATGGCCAATACGTTTAAGAATTCCCATGGTTTAGTGCAAGTAAGCAAGCACGAGCTACTTACCTTTCTCTCTTTTATACTTCTCTATCTTTTCTACAAGTTTAGGTACAGTTTTTCCACAGAGGTACTCCAGGGATGTCAAATTATCTTCATCTATTTTACCTTGTTTCTCGAGATACAACAGCAAACCTAGAGAAGTCTGCAAGAGAATCAATGGAGTCACATTTACTTGCTACTGCTTATCCATTCACTTGTTAAACATCACTGCATGGCCACTAGGCAACAGATTTTGCATTGACAGCAAAATATAGTCTCTGCCTTCAAGGAGCTCAATAGTGTAGGGGAAAAGGCATTCCCAAGCAAATCTCTATACAATCTCTATTAATACCAGATACAAAATGCATATAACTCTCTACACAACAGGTACACTGCTTGCTGTATTAACCTCAAAATAACCCAATAAAGTCAATACCATTATAATCCCCATTATTTATCTTTTTTTTTTTTTGAGACAGAGTCTCACTCTGTTGCCCGGGCTAGAGTGCCATGGCATCAGCCTAGCTCACAGCAATCTCAAACTCTTGGGCTCAAGTGATCCTCCTGCCTCAGCCTCCCAAGTAGCTGGGACTACAGGCACGCGCCACCATGCCCGGCTAATTTTTTCTATTTTTAGTTGTTTTTTGGCTAATTTCTTTCTATTTTTAGTAGAGACGGGATCTCGCTCTTGCTCGGGCTGTTCTCGAACTCCTGAGCTCAAGCAATCCTCCTGCCTC